CAAGGCACAGGGGTTGGATTTCCTAATGTGGGGCCTGGGTCCTTCATTTCCCCCTTTTCTTTATCCGGGATATAATCCTATATCCATTGATCTACCTGCTCAGAGTCCGGCACTTGCTCAGCTGATGGCTCAGGGTGCTGTGGGAGTACTTGATATTGCTGCGCGAGGACCATAGTTTGGATTACAGACAGTCTTCCTTTTATAAATTGCATTAATTTGTTGAATATACAAGGTCCAAAGGTTAAAATTAACAGTAATATAATCAAGGGGCCAGCTACAGTAGATAATATAGTAGTTAGCCTAATTTTGAATAGGACCCCAGGGTCGTAGGCATTTTTGAAGTACATTTTTAGGCCCCATTGTTTTTTTTTTTTGTTTTTTTTTTTATCCATTTCTTTGATGCCTTGCCTGCCTAAGTAAAGGTAATGTTTAAGGGGTTGCAGGAAAACGCGGAGCATGGCCTTGCCCCGTACCATTTTAGGCTCCTACAGGAGTCGGAAGATAGTGGGGGCTCTTGTCCCTTTTCTTTTTTACTTGTATTAAATCCCCAGATGAACCTGGCTTCCATCATATATCCCTCGTAGTTTTATATCCCCAAGATTTACAATAGTAACTTTCATGTTGTCCACATTTTTGTACCTGTGACTGGGTTTTTTTTCATCCCTAGGGCATATGTAGAAGGGTGTCTCCCTTAGAGCTGCTTTACACCCTGTGGGATGTTCTACGCAGGTGCAGCGTCCACTGTAGACGCATGCTTCTGCCTCACTGGGGTCATCAAAGTCCTTTGCCTTAGCCAGCAGGTAACAAAGATCAGGCCTTAGAGCAGGTTACCAAGCCCAAAGGGGGTATTTTGTGGATGTTTGGTTTTAAATTATATCTCCTGTCCCCGATAATATTTGCCATGTCTGGCTCACAGTTTGGTTAGCAACCGTTAGGGGAAATACAAAGCACAAAGCAAGGAAAATCAACAGCGTGTGAGTCTTATCTTTAGTGGATTTTGAGTGCGTTGCAACTTTCATTCTGGATCCGGAGAGGTGCCTGCGGACTCCTGTGGATGTGCAGCTTTCACGTGGGAGGCGTGGATCCAAGCGGTGATGCCGTCCACTTTGACTGCAGTGGGAGTGGTCAGCAGAATGGTGTAGGGTCCTTTCCACCGCGATTCGAGGTTCTTGCTCTGGTGCCTGTGTACCCAGACGGTGTCTCCAACTTTGAAGGGATGTGGCAGCAAGGGGGTTTTAAGTTCCTCTTTGTATGCTGTGGCTAGAGGCTTCCAGACCTCGTTCTGGACCAATTGCAAAGCATGCAAATGAGTCTGCATAGATGGGGTGAGGGAGGCATAGGTTTCAGTTTCATAAAAGTTAACAGCAGGAGGTGGGGCACCGTACAGGATTTCAAATGGGGTTAGTCCATGTGGGCCTGGGGTGTTTTGGGCCCGATACAAGGCTAAAGGTAGGAGTTGTACCCAGTCTTTAGTGCCAGTTTCAAGCGTTAATTTAGTTAAAGTCTCCTTGATGGTTCTATTTATCTTTTTTATCTGTCCTGAACTTTGGGGTAATTTCCAATGTATTGGCCACCATCTGACTTACCTGGGAGACGAAGGCAGGCCCATTAAATGTTTTTTTTTGGTCCTCACTATCAGGATCAAAGGGAGTAAACCTCCGATAAGCCTCTTTTAATCTCTCTAAGAAGGCTGTCGGAGTTTCCTCTGACCCCTGGATAGTCTGTCTTACCTGAGCCAAATTAGTGGGCCGTCGCCCTGCTCCATGGAGACCCGCTATGAGTAACTGGCAATAGAGACGTAGGTGGTTCCTACCTGCTTCAGTCGCATAGTCCCAGTTTGGCCGGGTTAAAGGAAAAGCTTCGTTAATCAAATTTGCGAGTTGGGTGGGGCGCCCGTCGTCCCCTGGCACATTTTTGCGAGCTTCCAAGAGAACCTTTTGTTTCTTCTCTGTGTCTAATAGAGAAATTTTTAATTCTGCTACTTAGGGCTGGATAACCATATTAGCAAACATCAAGTCTACCTGCGTTGGCTAGAAATAAAAGCCTTAGACTAAAACTATTCTAGTAGTCCCTTTGACAGTTATCAGGCATTTCTAAGAATTTTTTCTTGTAGCCTCTAGTCTACTTATTTATGGAAGTTATATTTAATTATTATTATTATTTAAGATGTCCAGGAACAGCTGTGCTTTGGCTTTTACTGTCTTTGCTAAGTGTTTAAGATGAAGCAAGTCAAACTGACTTTTATTTTTACCTATTGTTTACAGTCAGCTGAGTTATCCTGGGAGTCCTCGGGAACTTCATAGCAGCTTTTCAGTTCTGCTAGTGCCATTTGCGCTAGGATGGGCCCAGGCCTTGCTTGACCATATGGCTTCCCTCAGAAGCATCAGGGATGTCTCCCTTTTTTAATGATCCTCCTCTTTACAGCAAATGCACCGATTGGCTTCCTGTCCTCCACTGGTCTCATTAATCTCCTTGCTCAGGAGGTTATGTGGCCTAGAGTTGCTGAGCCCTTTGGAGAAGTTCCCTATTCCCTGATTCAGACTGACTCAGAGGGCAAGAGCCGAATATTGGTTTTCTTGGCCCTTTTAATTTAACTAATTTTAAAACTTGATCTTAAACATCCAGCAAATAAGTTAACAGCCTTATATTAAGAGCACTGGGCTTTAATGTTTATTTTTCTATCCTGTAGGTGATAACTCCTTATCTTATGTTGGCCCAGGTTGTGTTCTTAAAGTAATACCTCTTTAAAATATTAATAGGCAATTTTTAAACCATCTATAAGTAAACTACAAAACAAAACTAACTAGGGTAAAAACATATTTAGCTTATATAATAGCTACCTTGAATTCTAGTAGGGTTACACATCATAATTTTCTGTTTGAGATCCTAGTAATCTTGGCACAAACCTATTTTTGGACACAACTTTAACTGTACTGAAATCTGGCTTACTTTTTTATAGCCATTTTCACATGTAGTGAGATGGGACAGAGCCTTATCTCAAGTAAGGCAGGGCTCTTTATAAATCTCAAGTACTATAGTTCTGAAGCTGATCATTTTATAAAGTTTACATAAATTGTTGTTCAAGTTTACATGAACATTAGCTAACATAACATAATATCACACCTAAAACATGAATTAAAGGCTGAAAGCTTTTAACCTCTTATAGAAAAGTAGTGATGTACTTTTGTGTTTTGCAATAAAACCTTTACATTTTTTTTAAATTACCATATAACTTTAGAATACCAGCTTGATATAATGTTCTTTCGAAGCTTTTACCTTACAGGCTTGTATACCTGGAAGATATGAACACATTAATAACACCATAATTATATAAACTTTTTTTTGTTCCCTTTTTGAAACAATATTTGTAAACTTCTAAATTTAAGCAGAGTTAACATTTTATTAGGGCCGTTTTGAACACCTAGAGAAACTTATAAGCTTAATTTTGAGGACAGGAACTGCTATTTTGAGCAGACACTTTAGGCCTAAGGCATTTTAACCTTAAGTTATATTTCCAGGTTTTAGATGTTGAAAATTATAATACAAATTTAAGAAGTAATTTTTAAAATTTAAAATTTTATCTTTTTACATTAGAAAAACTTGTTCACATAAAACTGGAAATAGGATTTCTACCATCAGAAGAAATTTTTTAGTACCTCTAAGTCACTTTGCTAGTTCTGAAGTTTCTAAAGTAGCATTGAGTTACATTAAATTTGCCCACGCATTACCATATATATCTGAAATTAAGCTTTGAAAATTTTTAAGACTATTGCTATTTAATTATCTAATGTCATTTTTATGAGCCAGACCAACGTTTTAATTTCTTTTCAGGCTACCCAGTTCAAAATTGAAACTCTTTAATTTTAATTAATATTTTTTTTATTCCAAGTATTTAAGTTTTCTAGCATGAACTATCTGAAATCAAACTAAACAATTGCTTAAACCCAACTTTTAACTGCAAGATAGTGCAATGCTTTAGAAACCCATTCAGATACCAGATTGTTACAATAAAAAATTATTTTTTAGACACACATTTAACCTAGATCATCTTTAAGAAACAATCAGACAACCAGATAAGAAAATATCTCTCCAGGTTTTGAACTTTCATTTAATTATGACTCCTATCAGTGGCACCATAGACTTTCCCATGAGTGGACCAGATGTTTTCACGTAGGGGCAACTATAGGTGTAAAATCAAGGGTCTCAGTGTGACTGGCTTTACTGCATTCAGTGTCCCTTCTTTTTAAGTAAACAGAGGTGGCGTAATCCTTAAGATGTAGATAAGGACCCAGGGAACTCCCCAGAGCTAAATGGCTCTGGCAGCTGCTGGGAGTCCCTTAATCCCATCTTTCACCCACAGGATCAGTTCCTCCAGTTTGGTTTGACCTTAGGCATTAGGCATTTTTGTTTTTCTAACTTTTTAGTAGCCAGCTCCCAAAAAGTTTATCCTCTGCTTGCAGTTGTTTCGAGTGCTAGGCTTCCCCAAGAAAGCAGAGTGGGGACTCCTTAAAAGTCCCGTTGAGAGTGTCAAAATTTGTGACTGAAAATTTGGTTCTCATCTCTAAAGTACAGATACGAATCAGACAGGACACAAAACACAAAGAACGCTGCGCGGCTTCGGCACAAACCGAAAGAATCAGATGGCCTGGGAGAAACTGCTTCTCCGTCGCCTACAAAAATGGTGTATCCCTCGGAAACACCGGGGGCCCCAAAGAAATGGACCCCTCTGATCCCTGGGACATCTCCCAAGGTGGCAGGGGTGAAGTCCGAGTTCGTCAATTCCTTCCCCGTCTGCCTCAGAAACCTGAGTGATCACGGAACTGCTTCAGAATCAGAATACTAAGTGACTATGCATAGTCTTTCAGACGCCGCGCAAAACAGAAAACAGATAACCAACAGGACAACAGGTTAGACATAGACAGCTCGAGCCGGCCAGCTTACCTCCCAGTGATGTCGGGTGTCCTCCGGATAGGGATCGGGATCGGAACCGGGATCTCTGATCTCGGTGGGACCTCCAAATGAAAGATCCACAGATCCCAAACCCGGAACGAATCACACGAGACACTGGCTGCAAAAGC